AATAAATAAATAAATAAATAAATAAATAAATAAATAAATAAATAAAGATAATTTACCTGACAAATAAAAGAGGAAGTCTCTTGTCTTTGTATGTTGGGGTGTATATACACCTCATATACAGACACAAAACCACCTGCTGCTGCTGCTGCTGCTGCTGCTGCTGGTGCTGGCGCTGCTGCTGCTGATAGGGGTGCTGCTGCTGCTGCTGCTGCTGTTGTTGCTGCTGGTGAAGTCATAAAAGCACCCTGCTGCCCTCCATAAGTATAATCATTGTTGCTGCTGTTGCTGCTGCTGTTGTTGTTGCTGCTCCTGCTGTTGCTGCTGCTGGTGTCTCCGTCACGCAGAGCAGCAGCAGCAGCAGCAAAGATGTGGGGTTTTGCCAATGTTACGTCTCGAGCTATGAGCCTTTCTAGTTGTTGCTGCTGCTGTTGCTGCTGTTGCTTCTGTTGCTTCTGCTGCTTCTGCTGCTGCTGCTGCTGCTGCACCGCAGGCGCAGCAAGAGGGTTTGCTGCTGCTGCTCGTGCGTAAGACAGCCACAGGCAGAAGGCTAAATCAAACAACAGGGATGAACGTTGCAGCTTGCTGCTGTTACTGCTGCTGCTGCTGCTGCTGCTGCTGCAATTGCCATTGCTTGCATTGCATGCTAACAAGGAGTTACCCCCAAGGACGGATCTCCCACATTCTCCTGCTGCTGCTGCTGCTGCTGCTGCTGCTGCTGCTGCTTCTGTTGCTGCAGCTGTTCCTGGTTCTGTGAAATGTACAGCTGCTGCTGCAGTTGCTGCTGCAGCATCGTTAGATACAGCAGCAGCAGCAGCAGCAACCTGCTGCAGCAGAAAGAAACCTATGGGCTCTGTTGTACAGAGGGAGAGTCTTGCTAGCACTTCCCCAAAGAAGCAGCAACCAGCAGCAGCAGCAGCAGCCGGTGCTGCTGCTGCTGCTGCTGGAGGTGTCTCTGCTTCTCCGGTGGCACTGCAGCAGCTGCTGCTGCTGTTAGAGAGACACACCTGCAGCAGCAGCAGCAAGATCCCTGTACAAAGCGAATCAGCATTGAGCTGCAGCGCTGCAGCAGCAACGCCATTCTTGCTGCTGTTGCTGCTGTTGCTGCTGTTGCTGCTGTTGCTGCAGTAGTGGTTGCTGCTGCTGTTGCTGCTGATTTTTCTCCTTTTGCTGCTCCTAAGGAGACACTGCTGCTCGTTATCCACCAATAAAGAGGCAAGTACAGCAGCAGCAGCTGCTGCTGCTGCTGCAACGGGAGTGTTATGCTGTTGTTGCTGCAGCAGCAGCAGCTGCTGTTGCTGTTGCTGCTGCTTGTTCATCAGCCGCAGCAGCAGCTCAGCAGCCCACACAGCATTCAATTGTTGGTCGGCTGCTGCTGTTGCTGCTGCTGTTGCTGCTGTTGGTGCTGTTGGTGCTGCTGCTGCTGCTGCTGTTGCTGCAGATACTTCAGCAGCAACATCGTTGCATACTCGCCTGTAGGTCGCAACAATAGATGCAAAAATACCCTCTGTGCTGCTGCCATTGCTGCTGCTGCTGCTGCTGCTGCTGTTGCTGCTGCTGCTGCTGCAGGGGCGGGTACGACAAGCAGCACAAGGAGCAGCAGCACTTGCGCAGCAGCAGCAAAAGGAAGGAAGCGGACATAAAGAAGAGAAGAGACTAAAGGGGACATCAATAGAGTCCCAACGGATTTGCTGCTGCTGCTTGCTGCTGTTGCGGCTGCTGTTGCTGCTGCTGTTGCTGCTGCTGCTGCTGCTGTAGCAGTCATTGCAGTCCTTGCTGTTCAGCCAATTAAGCAGCTCGCTGTGTGGCAGCAAAGGAGCAGCAGGGGTAACAGCAGCAACAGCAGCAGCAGCAGCAGCAGCAAGCATCTCCTGTTGAGAGCAGCCAGCTTGCAAATTGGGTTGCTGCTGCTGCTGCTGTTGCTGCTGTTGCTGCAGCTTCTTGCCTACAACTGGTTGCACAGTGAGACCCAAGATGCTGCTAATTTTTTGCTGCTGCTGTTCTCGTTGCTGCTGCTGTTGCTGCTGTTGCTGTTGCAGTTGTTGTTGCAGTTGTTGCTGTTGCTCGTGTTGCTGCTGTTGCTCGTGTTGCAGTTGTTGCTGTGGTTGCTGCTGTTGCTGCTGCTGCTGCTGCTGCTGTTGAGCAGCAGCAGCAGCTAATATGTTAATATCCCTACTAAGAATGCCTAATCTACCAGGTAGTGCAGCACCAAACCTCTGCGGCTGCTGCAGCAGCAGCAGCAGCAGCAACTGCGACTGCAGCAGCGCGCTGCAGAGGAGAGGAGACACAGGAAATCTTTGCTGCCCTTCTTTAGCTGTACTCTTATCAGGGTGTACGTACACCCGAAATGGGCCCCCATTGCTGCTGCTGCTGCTGTTGCTGCTGCTACTACTGCTGCTGCTGCGGTTGCTGCTGCTGCTGCTGCTGCTGCTGCTGCTGCTGCTGCTGCAGCCTACACGAAGAGCTATACCTGCTCTATCTAGAAGGAGACAATTTATTAAATTGCTGCTAAAGGAGACAGAAAGAGACACTGCCCAATTACGTAGTGTCTGTGCTGCTCCACCTGCTGCTGCTGCTGCTGCTGCTGCTGTTGCTGCTCCTGTTGCGGTTATTGCTGTTGGCGCTGATGAAGATTCGTGTTGTAAGCCTCTGTCTGCTGCAGCAGCAGATGCAGCTGCAGCAGCAGAAGGTGCAGCAGCAGCAACCTGCTGAGAGGAGTCTAGATACAACTGCGGTGGCTGCAGCAGCAGCTGCAGCAACCCAACAGCAGCAAATGCAGCAGCAAGAGAAGCAACAAACAAGGGAGTAGCAGCAGGTGCCCAGTGCTGCAGCAGCAAAGACAGGAAATCAACAAAAGAGGATACCCAGCTGCTGTTGCAGTTGCTGCCTTGCTGCAGTTGCTGCAGCAGCGGCACAGCAATAGGAAGCAAAGACGCCACACCCCCACCTGCTGCTGCTGCAGCAGCAGCAGCAGCAGCAGCAGCCTCCATATCCATTTGCTGCACCCCCTCTTGTCCCTGCGCTGAATCTGCACCTGTGCTGTTTCTGTTTTTGTTGTTGCTGTTGTTGTTGCTGCTGCTGCCTTTGCTGCTGCTGCTGCCTTTGCTGCTGTTGCTGTTGCTGCTGCTGCTGCAGAAAAGAGACACAAACTGCAGCGTGGGCAGCAGCACAGCATCCCTAATAAATGAATCAGGAGGGAGGGGGACACTGCATGCAGCCCCACCAACAAGGATTCGTTTATACTTTTGCTGCTGCTGCTGCTGCTGCTGGTGCTGCTGCTGCAGGGCGCGCAGCAGCTGCAACGTCGCATCCTGCCACTGTTTGCTGCTGCAGCACCAAGGATATGATGCTGCTGCTGCTTCACCAGTAGGAGCAGCAGCACCAGGTAGAGGTGCAGCACCAGCAGCAGCAGCAACAGCAGCAGCAGCAGCAGCAGCAGGGAGAGGTGCAGCAGCAGAAGCAAACAGCAACCAACGGAGACACAATTGGTGTCTCTGGCTAAGGAGACACAAATAAGAAAAGGGACTTGTCTCCTTCTCTGCTGCTTGCTGCAGCTGCTGCAGCAAAGGCAGCACGCCGCAGCATAACTGCAAGTTGCTGCTGCTACCTCCTGCTGCTGCTGCTGCTGTTGCTGCTGTTGTTGCTGTTGTGCTTATGCTGAGTTGTTGTTGCTTTCCTAAAACGCCTGTGTCTTCGCCACGCTGCTGTTGCTGCAGCAGCAGCAGCTGCTGCTGCTGTTGCTGCTGTAGCTGCTGCTGCTGCTGCTGCTGCTGCTTTAAGGATCCCCCCGTGTTGTTGACGAGGCAGCAAGCAGCAGAACTCTGCAGCAGCAGCAGCGCGGATAAATCGCCAACAAAGGAGGACAGCCATGGAGATCTGCTGCTGTGTCCTCCGCTGCTTCCTGCTGTTGCTGCTGTTGTTGCTGCTGCTGCAGCAGCAGCAGCAGGACCCTCAATCCGCAGCCAACGTGAGATAAACCACTCCCGCTGCAGCAGCAGCTCTTTGCTGCTGTCGGATATAGTAGCAGCAGCAGCAACAGCAGCAGCAGCAAGACCATTTATGCTGCCTACACGACCTCCTTGCTGCAGCAGCAACTTCTGCTGCTGCAGTGTCTCCTGCTGCAGCAAGTACTGCAGAGACAGCAGCAACTCCTTAGGCAGCAGCAGCTCAGTAAGACGAGGAGAAGGGGGGCAGCACATTAACCATACTAATAGTGGTGCCTCTCCAAACCTGCTGCTGCTGCTGCTGCTGCTGCTGCTGCTGCTGCTGTTGCTGCTGTTTGCTGCTGCTGCTGGAGGGGAGGAACGGGGATCTGCAGCAGCAGCTGCAGCAGCAGCAGCAAAGTTGCAGCATCCTTTCCAGCAGGTGTATCTGCAGCAGATTTCGTCACAACAACTACTGCTGCTGCAGCAACAGCTGCTGCTGCTGCTGCTGCTGCTGCTGCGTTTAGCAGCAATGAGCTGTACAGCAGCAGCAGCAGAAGGCCTCAGCAGCAGCAACGGCCATATCTCCTCCCTTATAAGACGTACCCTACTAACGTCCCCTAGTGCAGCAGCAGCAAGAGAGCCACCAAGCAGCAAGAAGGACAATCTGCTGCTGCTGCAGCGCCACAGCAGCAGCAGCAGCTGCTCAGCCTCACGACACAGCAGCAGCACACTTCCTGCTGCAGCAGCAGCAGACAGCAAACGTAAAGACAGCAAAAATACTGCAGCAGCAGATGTGCTGCAGCAGCAAAGGAAGCTGCTGCTCTCTTGCTGCCTTCGCAGCACGCGCAGCACAGTAAGACAATGTGCTGTAGGGGAGGAGTCCTCTGCTGCTGCTGCTGCTGCTGCTGCGGTTGCTGCTGCCGTAGGTAATAGTTCTCCTGCACCTCCTTGTCCTCCTCCCCCAGCTGCTGCTGCTGCACCGGCTACCTGCTGCTTCAGCAGCAAACGTGCTGCTGCTGCTGCTGCTGCAGGCTGTGGGGTTGCATGCAATATATACGCGTGCTGCAGCAGCAACAAAGCTACCTTGGGGGCCCCCCTCCTCTTGGGGGCCCCCAACAGCAGCGGCAGCAGCTGCTGCGCAATTGTGCTGCGGCAGTGCAGCAGCAGCGGCTGCTGCGTAGACAGCAAGCAGCACAAGGCACTGCAGCAGAAGCTGCTGTCTCCTTGCAGCAGCAACTCAAGCAGCTGCAGCAGCAGACCTATATCCTGCTGCTGCAGCTGCTGCTGCTGCTGCCGTCCCCCCAGCAGCAACACAGACAGCAGCAACGCTAGCTGCAGGGATAAACGATTCTTTTGCTGCAGTGCTGCATGCTGCAGCAGCAGCGGCAGTGCATCTATCCATACTGCAGCAGGAAATACAGGAAAGGGAGACTGTGCTGCTGCTGCTGCTGCTCTTGCTGCTGCTGCTGCTGATGATGATGGATCTGCTGCTGCTGCTGCTGCTGCAGCAAACCCGCCACATGCTTCTGCCTGCTGCAGCGCAGCAGGATAGCTAAGGCCATCAAGGTAAGCTAAGGAGTATCGCCATCCTGCAGGACTTGCTGCTGCTGCTGCTGCTGTTGCTGCTTCCCTTGCATGCATGTGCAGCAGCAGCAAAGCAGCAGCACTACGATAGTGCAGCAGCAGCTGTGTTTCTGCTGTTGGTCTTACATGCAGAGGCGCGATGTTGTATAGAGAAGGAGCAGCAACAAACGCAGGACGGGGCAGCTCCTGCTGCTGCTGCTGTTGCTGCTGTTGCTGCTGTTGGTGCTGTTGGTGTTGCTGTTGGGGCTCGGTTACACATCCCCCTAGTTGTAGCAGCTGCTGCAGCTGCTTCTGATGTTGTTGCTGCTTCTGCTGCTGCATCGTTCCTCCTGCTGCACTACCTCCTGCTGCTGCTGCTGCTGTTGTTGTTGTTGTTGCTGTTGCTGCTGCTGCTGCTGCGGCCTTAACACCTCATGGGTGGAGGGTAAGAGGCCCAGCAGCAGCACATCTAAGGCCCATGGGGCCCCCATGGAGGACAGAGGTAAGGGGGCCCTTGAAGGGTTCTGCTTCTGTTGCTACTGCTGTTGTTGTTGTTGCTGCTGCAGTTCCTGCTGCTGTGACTGCTGCTGTTGCTGCTGCAGATCCTGCTGCAGCAGCAGCAGCTGCTGCTGCAGCAGGATAGCTGCGCTTAGCAGAGAATAAAGAAAATAATAATATAAAAAGAATATTAATTAATCATAAATAAATTCTTTTTTCTTTTGCTGCTTCTGCTGCTGCTGGGGGCCCCCACAATCTAAACCGTGGCTGGGGGCCCCCCCCCTTTGGGGGCCCCCCAGTATACAATAAGGGTACTATAGGGTATGATTTGCGCAGATTTAATTAAATAAAGATGAATAAAATGTTTATTTTAATTAAAAAATATATAAATGGATAAAAATAAAGGAAAAAAGAATAAATATAATCATAAATAAAGGAAAAAAAGAAGAAAAGTACCCTTTTTATGGTGTATACTATGCATACACCTGAATAAAGTGCAGAAAATAAATCTATTTATTCTTATTAAATAAAACAAACAAATAAATAATAATACTTCTTTTTATTATTTTTATTATATATATTATATATAATATATATAGTATATGTATTATACATTATATACATTATATATTTTATATAGTATACAGGTTATATATATATATATATATATATATATATATATA